ATTGGTGGTGTTTTCGTCACGATCGGCCCAGTAGTTCCTGAGTTATAGAATGGCTGCCATAGGCCACATCGGTCATGTGACCTCCCAAGGTCACCCAGGTCACCTGAGGTCACCATATTCGAAACGGCAGATGAAATCGCATACGCTGAATCGACTGGTGGTGTTTTCGTCACGATCGGCCCAGTAGTTCCTGAGTTATAGAATGGCTGCAATAGGCGAAAACGTTAAGTTGACCTTTTGAGGTCACCGAGGTCACCTGAGGTCACCATATTCGAAACGGCTGATGAAATCGCATACGCTAATTCGACTGGTGGTGTTTTCGTCGCGATCAGCCCAGTAGTTCCTGAGTTATAGAATGGCTGCAATAGGCGTCAATGCCGAGTTGACCTCTTGAGGTCACCGAGGTCACCTGGGATCACGAGCTTCGAAACGGCTGATAAAATCGTGCCCCCTGATTCGAATGGTGTTTCGTTCGTTCCGATCGGTCCAGTAGTTCCTGAGTTATAGAATGGCTGCAAGGGTGGCGGTCGAATAGTGTTGTCCAAGTTACGGCAGAGTTTTATGAAACGAGGCCCAGGGCCTCGTTTCATAAAAGGAATTACTTACGGCGTTCCGTCAATTATGCCAGATTTGGCGTATTTGATGCCAATTCGGTTTCATAAAGCCGGAGACCGGAGTAATTCACGTCATCGAAAGTACGGAGCTTCATTTACGGCAAATGCTCGATTCCGGACCAATTGATGCCATTTGGGTTTCATAAAACGACGTAATTAACGCCAAATATTTTATCAAGCTCTTGGTATCAGTGGTGTAAACTACGCACAAAAATGTTGCGTGATTTTGAATTAATGTGAAGATTTGAAGCTAGTTTTTAATATATTTTATAACGTTGAGCCCGGTGAGGAAGAAAGAACAGCCAAAATGAGAAAAAGAAACTGCAAATCTTCTGTACCAGTCGCTTTTTGTGGCCACTATCGGAATTTTGTTTATTCGCCGCGCCGCGCCACTTTCGTAGTTAGGGACTTCTGCTTCTGCTGGCTTTCTGCTGTTTTTAATATATTGTTTTAATAAAGGATGGTCATCAATATAAATTTTGTTTTTTCATAAATAATTTTTAAGATCTAAATTTAACATAATTGTTTTATAATTTCTCGTAAAAAAATAAGTGTTGACATGAAATTGTAATTTGTAGGACGCTTGATAAATTACGGTAACTACGCAAATGTGCTTAGTTACGGAGGTGTAAACAATTCCAGTAGTGGCTTTGTGAAACGGCTTTATTTGCGCTCCGTAGTTTGAAAGGGTGTGAATTACGGAAAGGTGTAAGTTACGGCAGAGCTTTATGAAACGAGGCCCTGGCCGCACAATATCCCAACATAAAAAGCAATGGTATCTTACCACTCGATCCGTTATTCCTTGCTCCCTTCCTTGCCATTTCTCCCCTACTGAAGCTAGAGACTCGCCTAAAAAAGATGATCGTGAGCGTCATGACTAGATGCAGCGACTGGTACCCAATTTCAAGATTTCAGTGCAACCGGGGTGGTGACCTCTGAGGTCAGGTCAAAGACCCCAAGGAAAGATACAAATGCTAGTAGACAACTTCCCCCAACACAGTCACAGGGCAGAGATGCTGCCTAGTACCTAGAGCGTTTGTCACATGCAGTCTAATAAAAATGCGAGTTTTGTTTGGGAGAAATTAAATTGGGCATTGACCTAATGTCAGGGAAGGTCAAAGTCGTTTAGATCAGGAGGTTAGTCAAGGGAGATCACGTGATGCATTATTTGAATTGACTGCTACGTTCTGACTTAACCCTATTCCTTGCGGGGGGGGCCTCAGGAGCCCCCCCCTGAGGTTTTTTGGTTATTTCTCCCAAACGGTTGAGCTAGGAAGCTCAAATTTTCTGACTTTTCCTAAAAGGCTTCTACGCAACATGTCTGAAAATTTTGAGTTGATCTGACCTCAGGTCAGGTCACCAGAGGCGGTTTGGTAACCCTACCTCAGAAAAGTTTGCAATCACGCCAGAGCTAGAGTTTTTGACCGATCAATTTCTTCTCTTCAGGCTTTAGTTAGGGTACCAGTATGTGCAATTTGTATATCTCGGAATTTTGATATCGGTGACCTAAGGTCAGGTCAGTTTCGCGACCTCCCCATTATAAGTCAATGGGGGAAAAATCAACTCCCTGTTTTTACCACTAAAACGGGTCGGAATGGCCCCATATACCATACATGACTTCATATACGATCAACCTTCACTACCTTGAGGTCTGTTTTGCTGTTGGGCAGCTGTGAGATCATGTGACGTCATCAAAGATCACCAAAGGTTTTTGGCCAATAACTCCGTACAGGAACAAGATACAGACGCGTGGATGGTCTCATTGTGTTCAGCTCGTCAAGACGCATCGAATGATATACATGATGACCTCGAGGTCACGTGACCTGAGGTCAACCTTTGACCTTGACCTTTCGAGGTCAACATATATATCATTCGATGCGGATTGACGAGAGGATCACGATGATGCCCTTAGTTTGTTCCTATCTTGACTAATTCGAAAGTTATTCGAGAAAAACTCTCTCCATATCTAGCGCCGCCATTTGGACTTTTTCGACCCCTGTGACGTCATCTTTGACCTGACCTGAAAATGACCTTAGTAAAAATTGTAGATCTTGACCGTGCGTATCCGATGCCGTTTACTGTTTGTCGCTGCGATGTGTAGTTTTTGAGATCTGAAGGGGGGCCGAATCGGCCCCCCCCCCCCCGCCAGTTTCTTGTCCCGGCGGAGCCCGCCAGGAATAGGGTTAATGAAGGCTTTTGTGACTTGCTGAGTCGATAGTTAAAGGGACCCTCCCAGTTCCCACCTTCAAAAAATTTAATGAATTGGTATGAAAGTGATGTCGCTCCATTCAGAAAGAGCAAAAACGAATATCTACCAAATTTCACCGAAAAATATTCACCGGTTTTCAAGATATTTTACTTTTACTTTTGTTTACTTTTTTGGGATCTCCGCTGTTCCTAGCGACTTCATTTTGGAAGTGCGGCGTTCGCTGCAGATGTTGCGCGCAAATAGCATATACCACCACTGCTTTACAAAGATGTTAGTATAAGGTTTTAAAATCGTTAGATCACCGCTGACGTCACAAATTCTAAGGGGCATCTCAATACATTAGCCCCTTAGAATCCGAAAACTGCAAGTTTGAAATTCCATATCTCCGAATTAAAACATTTTTCGATGTTGTGAGTGCCCAAACCGGTATTTGCAGACCATGGCCACCAATTTGGTTATCACAACTCAAAACTAATGTTAAGGTGGGATGGTCACTTTAAATTTGACAGGCGGCTGGTGCCGAGAAATTTCGATAACCTCGATGACATCAAATACAAACCCTTTTTCCTGCCTCAGCCGGGGAGAGTAACAGTACACTACCAGGAAGTTTAAACTTCCTGTTCAGATTTGGCTCCTCTTCAGGTTATGAAAAAATGTCCGCAACATGGACCAATATTTACTGCATTCCAGAAGTGCAAAAGAAACCAGTTTATCGCGTCTAGTAAACGTTTATGCTGACCTGCACAGGTGTGAAGGCCAGAAGCTGTGAACGGGTGAAGAAACAAAGAGAGCAGCTTGATCTGAGAGCTAAACTAGTTGAACCGGCCCTCAGGAACCGCGTTTGGCTGCAGGTTTTTTTTTGGGGGGGGGGCTCTTTCGTGACAAATTTGTCTGAAACAAGTAAGTGTCAGGCGCCTGAGAGCCTTACCATGTTATGGATATTTCAAGTTAGAAATGACCATGACAGAATATGGTCACACAAAATTATTTAAGTCTGAGGCTACTCCATATCTATAATACAATTGTCCATAGTCTGGCTGAACGGATATATGTAAGACACATAAATAAGCTCATATTGGACCTATACGAGAACCTCCAACGAAGCTCATATTGGACCTCGTATATAATCGGATAGATACGTTCTGTTTTAAAATTAGTTTTATTTTTCATGAGCACGTCATGAAAAAAACGCCCATCCATAATTTTAGTAATCATTCCACAATCTCATTATGTTTGCTCAAAACATTTAGAAAAGTGTTTCAGCAAAAGTGCCTATGTGTCATGTGGCACAATGTAGCAAATAATACGTGTTCTTTGTCATCTGGTAAGCAAAAATGGTTTTGGACTTGCTTGTGGATTGCGCATAACGAAAAATGTACGAGAATAAATTACGAGGAATTAGTGCTAAAAATTACCCCAGCCTCACGGCACGGTTAGTAAATATATACCAATTTTGTAAGTAGTATTGACGTGATTCCTTTTTAGCGTAACATGCTTTGACGATTTTCCATATAATGCGATGAGTATTCTAACTTACGGCAAAATCTAAATCAATAGGTAACAGAGGCTGCTGCTGTACGTTTATTTTAGGGATGGACTGTTATGCGGGGCCTCTGGAATGCCTCCAGCCCGTCTCCGCCCGAGGCGAACAATGCCGTATGGTGTGTGTTAGCTCTCCCCACATGTAGTCGTCTGGCCCCGGGCGCTCGGCTGCACCATTGTTGAGGCTCGGCGGGGCGGCCGCGGGAAAGTGTCGCCACCGGCGGCGCGGCGGCCGGGCTTCAGACGGCCTCCGACCACCTGCCCGGGCCGGCGGGTCGGCCGCGCGCCGCTCCCATTATTGATCGACGGGCGCCGCCGCCGACGGCGCAGCCGCCGTGGCCGCCGACCGCTCCGTCCCGCCGCCGCCGCCGCCGCCGCCGCCGCCGCCGGGCTCGTCACCGCCCGCCGCCGCCCGCCACCAGTGCACGCCGTCCCGTGCACGCCGCGCAGTCGTGCACCTCATCCCGCGCCCGACTCGCACGGCGGAGATCGCGCGCGCACGTCTCGGCCGTCCCGTGCAGTGAGTGCGCCGTCGTCCAGCGGGGGCAGTGACCGGTCGAGTGCGGCCGGCGGTGTGCGTGAACCGGTGCCAATCAATAGTGCGTACTACGAGATGGGTGGGCCGGCCGTGGAGAGCCAGCGGGGCCGCCTCGCCACCGCCGCGCCGCGCGCCACGCTCCACCGCTGACTCAGGTGGGTGAACGGGGCACTGGAGGGGGAGTGGTCAGCACTGAAAGGTACAGCGGGGTGCTGGAGAGGGAGTGGTCAGCACTGGAGGGTACAGCGGGGTGCTGGAAGGGTTCAGCGGGGCACTGGAGGGGTTCAGCGGGGCAATGGAAGGGTCCAGCGGGGCACTGGAGAGGGAGTGGTCACCACTGGAAGGTACAGCGGGGTGCCGGAGGGGTTCAGCGGGGCACTGGAAGGAGAGTGGTTGGTGCTGGAAGGTACAGCGGGGCACTAGATGGGGAATGGTGGGCACTGGAAGGTACAGCGGGGCATTATAGGGGCAATGGTGGGCACTGGTAGGTACAGGGGGCACTGGAAGGTGAAATGGTCGACGATGAAAGGGTACATCAGGGTACTGGAACTTACAGGGGCACTGGAAAGGTGCAGATATATTGGAAAGGTTCACGGGAGCTGTAGGGGTGCTGGAAGGACACCAGAATGCTGCAGGGGTCGACAATAAGGGGTTCAAAGGAAGATACAGTCAAGGTATAGCACATGAGAGAGGGCAGTAGAATGTTATAAGGGCCAGAGAATGGTGACTGGTACTGGAAGAATGCGGGGGTTGACAATTTGATAAAAAGGCGATGTTCCGCCTCGGGTGTAATGCCGACTATAAGATGGGCTGTATTTGTAGATTCGTCTGCTTATTGGTTCATGAATAAGCACACTGGAAAGTGAAAATTTAGGACAATCGGTTGGCGTGGGGTTCATTGGCATGAAGCCATTGACCATATGTTCAAAATGATTCCATGTGTTTTCTCAGCTATGTAGGTTGTAGACCGCTGTACTGATAGTTTCATTTATACTCGCATTGAAAACGCTCGCGTTCGCTCGTGATCAGATAATAAAATCGACGAAGCCCACTGACATGGGGATACACATGCGTGCTAATTAGAGCTATTGGTTTTCCCCTCCTACCAAAATAGGTATATGTTGCTTTTTTATTACAGATCTTTGTTCTATTTTCACGCGGAATAGCATTATCTGCCAGGAAAGTTTCTAAGCCCCTAGCAACATATGCAAAGAACTACATAGACAGAACTGAACTTACAAGCCTCCGTACAACATTCCACATTTACCGCTTAAATGTTATTGTTACGAATAAGTTGATAATATGAACAAAGTATAAGAATACTTTACTCCGGACTCCGGTGGTAACCTCCCTCTGCTCCCTAAAGATGCGCCTAACGGCTGTCGCTGGGAGACGTAGCGTGCCGCTGTCTCGGTAAGTGCCGCTCATTTTCCTCCGGACCGGTCTGCCAGCGAGCCGTGCGGCCTCGCCAGGAGCGGCGCACACCACTTCACCAGCGAGCCAAACGGGCCACCGGCTTCATTAGGGAGCGGTTCACGTGGCATTGTTAAAACAGCTCGCCCAGAGCCGCGGCTGCAGGGGCTCGGGGAGGCGCCCGCCCGGCCGGAGCTCTCAGTTGTCTGCGGCAGAGATGTGGCCTGGACTCACCGAGGCGTGAGGACGAGGTGCGCGCTGCGGCGTCCTGGGTGAGAGCGAGACGCTGATGCAAATTGCTTTGTTCTATTCAGCATGTGGAAACACATTTGGTTGTTAAGCTCCAACTAGATTACACATTCTGCCAAAAATAAACTTTTGGTTAAAACAGCAGCCGCACTGGTTCAGAATGGTCTCCAGTTGAGTGCTACTTCAAATAGCGTAGAAGTAACGATTATGTATAACAAACATCTACTCGCAGTTCGCACTGAATCCTATTTAAGAAAAAAGGCGTCTTCATCTTGCGCTTCTTTCGGGTTTCGCTTTAACCCGCAACATTCAGGCACATGGTGCCTAATGTGTTACCTTCTATTACAGATATTGCCAGCATATTGCTTATTGAGCAATGGGCATATCGCTTTATCTTATGATGATTAATCTTGAACTACGTGAAAGCTGCCTTTCCTGCCACGATCCGTGACTTAAAGAAAAGTGTGCAGTCTCCAGATACCTATTTACAATATTGGTAGTGTGGTATGACAGTTTGACGTTTGTGAAAAGCGATAATGTGAACACATATATATTGCACAAACCGGTTTCGATATTACTTCATCATCTATTTCATCATCATCACCACCTATTTCGTCTCCGTTTTGTATTTTGTGTGTTTTATTTATATATTTGCACACTGATGAAGTAATATCGAAACTTGTGCAATATATAGGGTGAAGTCGTATAAGAGTACGCACTTAGTGGATTTCTTGCTCTCATTTGTTTAATATTTGAAGGAAAGAAATCACAAATAGGGAATATTAAAGTTCATTGAATTAGCCATCAACCCATGGGGCAACGATCCTTCAGCGTAAATGGAAGTGGTCTAAAAATGACATTTTCTGAACCGTTGCACTTGCGTACTCTTACCATATGGGGTGTGTAAGAGTACGCACGCCAGGCGGGTGGAGTACGCAAGCATATGAACACACACCTATGCAGCTTGCACTGTCCAAATGCCTTAACTTCAAACTCAGAAGGCATTTAAGTTAATTCTAGTATCTAAAAAGAAAAACATAAAATAAACCTTTCAAGTCTATAAATCAGGAAATAATCATTTCGTGTGTTTCTTAAAAAATGCACAATCAAAAAGGAGAATAACTCGTAGTTGGAAGAATTTCGGGTACGCATCTGCATCACAGTGCTCCATTGATGATATACCTACAAAACAAACGTCATTGAGCGATAGATTAATGATTATATATTTCTGTATATTCGATTTAATGTATAATTCTGCGTACTCTTACCCTCCTGAACAGTGCGTCCTCTTACCGTACATGCAATTCGCGCACAAAACAACCCCGAAACGTTGTGCAAAACTTCGCAAACAGAATATTGCAGTGTACAGTATTTCCCCAGATAACCTCACAAGTTTCCCACAACAATCACGGAAATGTACCTTATCTCAACTGCCAAGTATCAACATTATTGTACCATATCATAATAATATCATAACGCTCGAAAATAATATTCATCGCCTTAAACTCAACAGCGTCGCCGCTCAACGCCCATGTTCCGTTGGTGACATGCACGCACTGGCGGCTTCATGTCACTTCATGAACTCGACAAACCCGCGTTGCTAAGCAACCGAAACAGCTGATGCGTACTCTTATCGCCCGCGTACTCTTACCCGCCCTTACCCTATGTGTTCACATTATCGCTTTTCACAATATTGGTAGTCATTGACCTCTGAATCTTAGTCCTGAAATTGATGTGGTGTTTTGAAAAGCTCATACAGGTGTCATTGGCGGCCCCTAAAGTGCAGCGGCCTTCCCTCACGCCCATTTCTAAATACTCGCTGGGCGCTATTGGCACGGGTGTCCCAGGCCGAAGCGCCGTGCCGGCTGCGCGGAAGCACCCAGAGTCGTGCGGCACAGTCTAACTTCCAGGTTATAACAGCTGCTGCCATCTAGCGGCAGTGGCATAAGTACCTAAGCTCCATCGGGCGAGGATCTTTGACTGAATACTACGTCAGCGCTTGCCGACCGAGTTTTTTTGCAATTGTATGAAGCCTTTCGGTCGTGCATACCAGAGGCTATCACGACGTGATAACCAACAAGTTTCGAGGCCCGAGGGTCACCTAGACGCTCAGTCGCTGCCCTGGTGTGAACACACTAACACTCCTCGGTCGTGTTCTCCATTCATGGCTGCTGTTTTTGGCAGCGATAGATCATCGCTCCGATGGAAATAGAAAATGGCGGAATAACTACAAGCTGAATATCCCGTTCTCATAAAAGCTGCCATATGTGTGAACTAGGAACAGTGACCTTATAGCTGTCAAAGCCACGAGGAGCGGCTGTCATTCAGCTAATATTGACAGCCGTGCGGCCGAAATCTAATTTGCTTTGCTTAGCTTATGCATACTCAATGCTCTGCTATATTTTGCTTTTGTGAAACGGGTTTAGGCTAACTTTTCGTTAGCCTAAACCCGATTTTCAATTTATTTTAATTTACCCTAACTTTTTGGATAGCATAAATTAAAACTAGTGTATTTTGATAGGAACAGCCCAGATCCGAGTTTATACTAACTTTGGAGCACGTTAGCCTAAACCAGATTTACCCTAACCCGGCCAATTAAACGATTCTGTTAGTTCATATTTTATCCACCAGGGTTTGCTTCATACTCAAAGGCCTTCCTCGTCCAGTAAAAGATCTGGCAGCGATGTGCCACGTCGATTTGGAAGCACGACTAAGCTACAATTTCGGCGCAGCTGTTTGCACGCCGGAATATCTTTGACTTTGAGCGTTATTGTTGTTACACGTGCAGTTTCAAGGATGGTGGTCGTTGTGTGTCTACAACAGGTAAGCTGAATATTGTTCTCCCTAATATATGATAGATCAGGTTAAGTAAACAGCCAGAAGAACTCCACCCACCCATATTGTTGTCACTTGTCTCCTTGTTTTGTTTTGTTTTTCCACCTACCTTCTTGCAAAAACTGCCTGTAGCTAGCTTGTGCCTGCCATGACATGACTAGAGTCCATACCGGTATCCCTTTTTGCTTTATCTTGGCGGCTATATAGTTGTGTGAAGATGGCGGATACTAGGCTCATGTGTTGTTAATGGTTGCATCACTTTTCATTTTGAAATGAAGGAGCAGGGCATTCTTACAATTGTAAAACTAACCATACTTTGTTGGAAGCTGTTCTGTTAGGTTGTGCATCAGTTGGGTAAAGGACGAGGCTCAAATCCAAATATTGATCTACCAATGAGAGGTTGGAGTGGGCAGGGCCATGACCATGTAACGAAAAAATGGATGTGATTTTGTGCATCCTAGCTTTCAAATGAAAAAATAAGACATTAGCAAGTTGTAATTCACACAAGGCCTGTACTCACTCAGCGCACAATTAGCTGGCGGTCCTAATGAAGTAAGTTGTGACTCCAGGCCAACCGACGTTTGACGGCAATTGCTGATTGACAGAAACGTGCCAGAAAAAGTGAGTAATTAAGAGATGGTTGGTAAATAGTTATTAT